AACAAATAATAAATAAATTCATTGTATTCGGGGAGTGAATTGATGCAAGTGGACAACACCGCTTTTAACAGACCAACGAAAATCAGTCGAATTTCGCTATGTATGGTGGCGAAACATCTACAAGAGGTAATAACCCTTATGAAAGTCCTCAAAGTCATGCATCACCTATAAGGTACGACTTAAATCAACCTGAAATATTTTATGATGAAAGTGTACTCAACTATAAACCAAAATGTGTTGTTGAGCAAAAGGATGTGGATTTTATTGTTCCCACAGAGTTGGAAATAATGCCAGATGATTGGAACGAGATACAAAAATGGGGTAAAAAAACTAAACTTCAATGCGAGGTTTTCAAAAGGCCTTACAGCAAAAGGTTCAAAAGCATTAAGGCGATTTTCGATAGTTGTAGGAAACACCATGCGAATGTTCCTTACAATTTGAACGATGACCAACGATACATTTTTTATAATGATGAATCTGAAAATGAGATGAAACCAATTGTTGAAATCATCAATTTGCCACTTTTTTGCAAAGGCCCTCCTGAATTTATGCAACAGATTGCTGAAATGTCTCATGAACAAGCAAGTGGAATAAGTTTTCCCGTTACAAATCACTATTCTGATCTGAAAAAACATGTCCTTCTATTGGGGCTTGTTCCAAATTGCTATGAAGATGCTACAAAACATTTCGCGAAATTTAGGCGAGAATCAGTTGTAACAAGCTTGATTGAATGCGGAATAAGTTGTTTTGACCAAAGGCCTGAATCTCACAAATTACTGAAAATTACTGGTCATAAAGGTGACAACTATTTTGGGCCCTTTTTCGATGGACAGTTGGAGATTTTCGTTTTACTTTATTACGTTCTGGAAACTCAAGATTTGGTTAATTTTAAGTTAGTACCGGATTTAAGAAAGTGCAAACAGATTTTGAGCTTTTTGTTTGATAAACTCGATAAAGAAAACGATTATGATTTAAAAAGAATAGATAAATATATGGAATTTGATTCAAGAGAAATTCTAGAGAGGAAATATAAGAGAAGGAGACTAACAAAAGAAAAAGGAATTTCTTTACCATTATTGTTCTGGATCAAAAAGAACTTCGTGAAGATTTTGGATAATACAGACACGGCATATCATGATCACTGGCACAATTTGATGCAAGCCCTTGGACTTCATCACTACAGATGCCCACATACATATAATGAAGTGTTTCGCATGTATTTTGAATTTTTGCAGGATCATTTTCCAGCATATATACGGAATTGTGTCAACTCTGACAGCGAAACAGATGTGGATGTTCGAGATGTTTTCAGACTTTATCCGAATTTCAAAAATAATATGCCACCAAGCGTTAACCATAGTATCAATGGTTTACTGAATGCTTTCAGCTACGATTTTGCTGAATTTCTGTTTAGAACAAATCATTACAATCGTAAATTAGAAACAGAGACTGTAAATTGTTATCTCAATGAGTTACATTGTCCAATTAAGAATCTGGGTTTGATTGTCGAATCTGGAAGTGAAGTCTCGCAGCGATTCAAAGACAAGTTAACAGGGAATGTCAAGTTTTTGGCTTTTCTCAAAAGAAAAAGATGCTTCAGATTCGAAATATCATCAGAAAATAATTTGTCTCTCGCTATTCAGAGATTTTTAGAAAAGACTTTACCATTGGATCTTTTAAGACCACAGGGAAATGCGCATATCAAATGGGATTTAATAGAGGAGAAAATCACAAAGCTAAAGGATCAAAAGTTCAGCAAATTTGAAAAAAGAGAGTTTAATGAAAATGTTTATGCGTTTGATGAAATTGGTGATGAAATGGAAACAGGGGGAGAAGCTAATCTGGCAGATCATAGAATGATTGAAAGGAATGATTCACACACATACAATGACTTTGATGATTGTAGATTCAAATATCACGCTGAAGAAGTCACACCAACGGTTTGTGTTGGTTGCTGCTATGGTAAGAAGAAAACGAATCGTTATCTCATATTGGATGAGCGTTATTTGGTTGCATTTTGTACTTGGTGTACTTGGTGCTTGAATAACAAGTACTCAGAATATATATCAGAACTTTTACGAATTGTTGAAGAAAAATATGAGCAACCAATTTTCTTGGACCAGATGAACCAACGAATATCATATTCTGCGATTAAAAATGCAGGGAAAACCACGCATAGATCCTACAATCGAAGCAAAAATCTTCAAAAGAGAGAACTAAGCAGATGCGGAGGTGAACCACGTATAGATATTGTAATCCGAAATCGCCGATTAGAAATGGAACATCTTTCAGATTCGTCAGATGATGCAGATGATTCCGATTGAGCTGTTACGCATCCCGATGGATCTATTTCAGATGAACCAGGTTTAGATGCATCAAATTCATCATCTTCAGATTAAAATATTAATTTCAGTTCAGAAGAATCGCATGAGTGTTAGAAAAAACATGTCTTTGCAATGAATAAACTTTTTGCAAATCGCAATAAATTATGAAGTAAGAAATGCAATACATTAATGAAATCGATGAAAAAGTACTGACATCTTCAAAGGATTCGTTTTAAATCTAAAGATAGTAAAAATATGCTTACTTAATGCAAAAACGTACATCACATATTAATAGTAATTTAATTAGCGATCTTTGTTATTTCAGCAACTACATCGGTTTCAGTATCGATTAAGCTCATGTACAATCGATGTTCAAAGTTTCTTCAGTTTAGTATTAACCATGAAATAAATGAAAAATACTTACTGCTAAGACTATATCAACTATGCTTGTGATGAACATACCCAACTAGATGTTTTCAGTGTTTTATCGACTAGTAATCTACTACTGTTACTACCAGTCGAGCAAGAATAACGTTGATCTAAACGTTGGTGTTGCGTTTAATAAGGTGCAATTTAGAGTTGTTCCAATATATCGAATGAGTCGATAAATATCAATATTTTTAACTTGATATTTATTGATATCTCGTACAATATATCGATTCTATTAATGTTTTAGTTTGTCAGAAAATCTCTGAACTTTTGTTTGTTTACTCAGCTTTCTTCAGTTACATTTCATTACATATCCATAATTTGAATTAGACAGGATTGATTAAAAATTAGAAAATGAAAATACATGTAAATGGTGCTAATACTTTGACTCACAGCAAACTTCACGAGCTGCCTAAAACCGATTTGAATGAGTGAGGGGACATTAGATAGGGGATGATGAGGGGTAAAAATACAAAGTGAAGGGTTTTTTCTGTAAACTTGTTGGTTCATGAGATATTTGCGGTATTTTTCAGTAGTATTTTTCACTCAACAATATTTTTTGATTCACCGATATTTATCGATATCATCCATGCAATATATTTTTTATTGATATCTTCTATTGATTCATATCGAACATCACTAGTGCAATTATCAGTTACCAAAATGAAGATAAAAAGATTAACAATGTAATATGTCTTGATCTTTACCTTTGTCCATCCATGATTACTAATCGATAAAACACTGAAAACATCTAGTTGGGCATGTTCATCATACCCATTGTTCACCTTATTAAACGCAAACCCTTTACTTAATCCAAAATAATCATTAAAAACCAGTTGACAATATTTTAACTTAACAGTAGTCCCCCTATCAGACAAAGAGTGGTAACAAAAAATGTTGATCCTTTACATGTTGTTCGTAATCATCAACATAAGAACCTTATAAATTTCAGCTGATCAACCAATCAATTGGTGCTATGAACTAATTTGTGATGGACAATTGAAGATTTATTTTTAAGATTTTGATTCTTTCCTAAGTACTGGAAACACAGAATTTTGTAAATGATGAGCTGCCAGCAAGTTCATTTGAATAAAAAACAGATTTTATGTATTTTTCGATAACTTTAATTAACCCGAAAAATTTGATCGCAAATTGAAATGTGATATATCACGCTATGGACGATTGACAAGAAAACGTGCAGTCAAACAGGTATATAAAGGACGCTCCTGGCTATTAGATTGGATGAGCGTAGGATAAGAGCGGAATCTGCCCTCTCTTAAATAATTTCGAAACTTCATATGTACATATGTAGATAGAACTCAGTGAGAGTATTTCAATCATTTAATCGGGTCTTATTGAAAATTTGCCTCCTACCCGATTTGAATGCTGATAGAGCACATCTGCACAAAACTGTTGTGCAACTGTTAGGCAAAGTTATACAAGTTATCGAAACCGATTTGACAGAAAACGCATATCGATAGTGTGTATCAAACCTTTTTCAATCGATAGATAATAAACAATAGATCGATACCCAATGAAAAACTACAATTTGACAGTTTTACACTGGTTATTCAGCTCTAAGGTGGCTATCTAGCTAATAAAATATGATGATAGATAAGACTAAGCCAAATCCAAAAAACGTATCAAAACTAAAATCGGATAAAAGGTTCGGCCGCAAAATAGGATTGAAGTTTTTTTGATTCTTTAACGATATCCGACGATCTATCAGTCCCAGCGGAATATCTTACTAGACAATATTGTAGAGCTATATGTGCTGGAACGAATCATTTAATTGATGCTTTTTGCAAATACTTTGCTACTCATCTGTTTGGTAATAAATATAACCGACAATTAAAAGATGAAAAGATCAATTTTAATCTTGGCAAGCATGATATTTGGGTAGCAACAAGATTCAATTGTATTGTCGAGCCTGAAAAGGAGTCTATTCGAGAAGTGAACGTTAATGTTTCGGCACATCACAAGAAATAATCTTCCGTTGTATTATCAAAGAAAATCTGTGAAAGATGCAAAACAAGATGTACAGCTGCATCGTATTCACTGTTTATCAACCATTTCCATAGGCCATCTATTATAAGTTCATTTTCAACTGAAATTAACTAAATCATCTACTTCGTATTTATATTATTCATATTCAGATTAAAGTTCAAGACTTTTGAAGAGTCTCCTCAAGCAGAGTTATGTACCTAGGGAAATCCTTTTAAATGTTAATGAAATCAGAGCTTCTCGTCAGTATAATTAGTTTGTTATTTGGATTGACTTTTATGTTAACAAATTTCATTTTTATATATTTTACAAAATTAGATGACAAAAAGAAGTAGATTTGGACATTTTTAAATTATCAATTAATCTAAAATTACATTAATAATTTTTTTGTAGAAAATTGTTGAGCCATTTTGACAGAAACGTTTTATCGCAATTGATCGGTGTTGAAAGTCGTCTTGCTTGGTCCGAGTGTAAAAAACATTTCAATTGGGAATGGAATTATCATCCATTGAAGAGCTAAACGAAAAGACCAGCAAGCTTGATTTGGAAAATTGTTTTGGTTTAAAGAGCAGTTTTAAATTAAATGTACATTCATTAAAATTTTGAGTTTACTGTAAAAGTGATTGATTGAGCGGTCAACAATGGTCACCATTAACTGCTCCCGTTGTGCTAACAATTTGATTTCCTTTTAATTTGGCAAACACAGTTTTAGATTTGTTGGATTTACTTGGCTTGTGTGAAGATGAAGAACCTAGAGATCTTTGAGGCGATCGAGGTGAAACTGGAATATTAAGTCGAGTGGTTGGAAGATTGCAAGTTGATGAGGGTGATGATGAAGAGGAAGATGATGATGAAGATGCTGATAAAGATGATGAAGCTTGAAGCTCCTTGTGACTCTGGTTTTGAGGCTTCTGTGATTCTTGCTGATCTTGGCCATTCGACTCGTAAGCTGTTCGAGTATTGTCTCGAATTATTGCCGGTAAAAGTTCATCAGATGAAGCTCGGTGATTGGGCAATGTTGAACGCACCAGTGTTGTCCTACGATCTAGAGTACCATTTGGTCCAACAATTATATTATTGTACTTGTACTGATCACGAAGAAGTGATCGTTTGTCTGCAGACTGAGGTTTATTGTTGATGAATAGGTGGAGCTTTTGATATTCTGATGGTGCAAGGGAATGGTGATGATGAGGATGAGATGAATAATGTGATGAGTGATGATGATTGGGATGGGTTGTTGAAGAGTTTAAAGTTGAATGATTATTATGATGAGAAGATGATAATGGCTGTTGATATTGATGGTAAGAGTTTTGTGAATAAATGGAACCCTGAAATTGACTCGGTGAGCCTGTTAAAGCACTTGAGTGTAAAAAATTGTTCCCATGAACATGATGATAGTTGGAATCATCTGGTATACATTCATACAAATGTTCACCCGGAATACGAGTCAGCGAAACGTCACTTCTCATGATAATTGGTCTCATCGGTCCCGTTGTGGCATCCGAGTGTGATAATCCTTCCATCAATGCACGAGTTTCCATCTCTAAATCAGTATCCATTGAATGGTCATAAAGACGACTCATTTCTTCATGACCCAATCCTGAAACACCAGTTGGTTTGCGTCCCGAGGTGAGCAATTGAGCTGATCCAGGACCAATCATTGGTTCTTCTGATTCAGGATAACATGAATTATCTGGATAGGGACAAGACATTGGTATTCCTTGAGGCATTATACTGCCACCAGCTGAAGAACCAGAAGATGAAGGTTTGGTTGAACAAGTTCCCAAAGTCCCTTGGATAAGGGACGAAGACTGGTGAGGTGAAGATGCTGATGGATGGAAGAAAGTTGACCTTTCTGCTGGACTTGAAGAGGCAACCTTTTCTCCGTCAAATTGAGCACACAGTTGACAGCATAACCAGGATAACCAATGACATCGAGACACAACCCGAACATATTCACGTCTAACTTTATCATTGACCAAACATTGAAAGGTGAAAATGTAAACTCCTTGAAGCACATTGAAGCCGGTAAAAAGGGAAGCAGTCAAGAAGCTAGGAAAGGAAATGTAAAGGACACCAGAAGACCAGGTTAATCCCAATATAAGTATCAATCCAAGTGAACCACGAGCCCATAATCTAATGAAAAAAGAGAAACAAAAACATTAATTAGATAAATTGAATAATTCAAAAATCATGATCTTTTCAGTTCAACACTTGTGCAACCAATTGTAAGTTACGATGCAGAAATGCGAATACTGCCGCCACCTTGTGTCAACTAAACTATAATAATTTTTCATGAACCAAAATGAACCAAAGAGCATTAAAAGACGAAAAATTGACGTTCATGTAAGCTGTAATTAACCTTAAATCGCCTAAATTGAATCAATTTATCTCATCTTTTAATCAAAGTGTCTTTTAAAATCAAGTTAAAAATGAAAAAAATGATCGCATTTTAATTATGCTCAACCCTTTAAGCTTGAATTTCCTGCAAATTGAAAGTGAAGACTTTGACAGTTCCAACCTTGAAATGCCTTTTTTTGGGTTCCCACTGAAAGGTCTGTCTAGTTTGTTTACAAAACAAGATGATAAATAAGCTTGAATCTGCATAACTCTTGATACACAAGAGACAATTATTATGTTAATAACTTTTGAACAACTACCATTAACACAAAATGGTTTCCATGTTAATAATGATTATTATTATCATTACTGGTAACATTAATATTAACATGATTATAATGTTCATCATGTTACGATTATCACTTTACAATTTTGGCCCTTTTCCTCTCAAAATTGATGCCAAAAGTTGGAAACAAGTTTTTTGCCTTTAAATTAACAGAGAGAAAGAGGAGGATAAAGAAGAGACACAAAAAAATGGAGATTAAAAAATCAACATGGAAATGGCAAGTTTCGTGATCTTTTTTCTGCTCATCTTCAGAGTAAACATTAACATAGGCTAGGCTTGAAATTTGAGCTAACAAGTTGAGCTCATTAGCAAAGCAACCAGTTGATTAAAAGTAATAATAGCAAGATTTGTTGAGATTTTTATTGCTACTGCATGTTTGACTTGCAAGTTGGGCTAAAATGAAAGACATAATTAAATATAAAGTTGACTGGGAGGAGAAACGAGTCGAGAAATGATGATGAAGATAATGAAAGAAGATGAAGAAGATGAATGCAAAATAACAAGTTGATAAGATGCTTACATAAGCTGCTTATATCTTGCAATTAGAATTGCTTGTCGTCTGTTGAAAGAATCATTTTATTTCATTTTTTTGTTGCAAGTTTCCAATGATTTATCATTCATTAGCAAAAGTGAATCACGGTGAGGTTAAGGTAAGCATGGCGATGAATCAAATTGATGATGTTGGTTAAAGATGAGGTTACGTTGTTGTTGATATTGGTATTAACATGTCAACATTAAAGTTGTCATGTAATGAGAATGTTGAACCAGTTAAGATGCAGATTGATATTCATGACGAGATTCAAGATAATGAGAAATGTGGGCAAAATGTTGTTTAATTACCAATGACCCAGTCAACCAGAAATTTAGTGATGAATGTTTATCGATTGGAGAAAAGAAAAGAAGAAAAAATGTTGAATAAAATGAACTTCGACAAATACTGAGCAACGTTTAGAAGCGAAAAGTTGATGTGACGAATGTTCCAACGTTTTCATGTTGCATGATGAGAAGCAAAACGTTGAGTAAAATGTTGGATAACATTGAAAGACAAATATTGAAAGGGAAAAGTCGAGACGAATTTGCGTTTTGATGGACAAATAGACAGTAACGATTGAAGACACTTGGACCGACCTTAGGGTCTAATGTGATGCTTGAACAATTAACTCGACCATCTATAAATATCAGGTCAAGTGTGTGTTTAGTTGATTGCTTTATTCTCATCCTTTTTGTCTTGCCTTTCACTTCATCTTTTGTAAATATTTTGCTCTTCATCTTCTTCTCAATCTTTTCTTAATCTTGATGATTAAAAGGCAAAGTGAAGGGTAAAATGATGATGAAGAGTGGAAGAGAGGAGAAAGGATTTACTAGAGTTGATCTGTGAGTAGGAAAAGGTTTGCCTTGGTCAGTTGAACAACTGATCCTTTACTTGATCAATCTAAATCCATCAGATTAAATCAAGTTTATTGGTCATTTTCAGGGAAATCAAGGCAATTGCAGGACCACCATGAGTATCAATGAAAACAGATAAACTCTTCTTTGTTGCAACATTAACATTCTTGTTGAAAATTCAAGTTCAACTTGGAAATAGCAAAACAAGAAAGTAATTAATTTTGCAGGAGAATGGACAAGAAATGAATTTCTCTCTTTTTCTGGATAAAGCTCTACTTTTTCAGGTTTTTTTCAATGAGAATTAATGAACAATCTTATGATTAATCTGATGATTTGAATTTTCAAGAAAATAATCAGTTTTGCTAAGATTTTCAATCGATAAAACTCTTTCTTCTTTACCTCAACTTGAACAGGAAAAACTGCTACAGAAGATGAAGCTTTTCTGATAACTGCAATAATGGATAATTTATCATGAAATAATGATTAAAGTTCACATAAAATGAAAATGCATTACAAAGCTAATTCCCTGTGAGAATAGATTTGCCTGATTTTCAAAAATTAATGTAAACAAGAAAAAGTGATTCAATTAATTCTTGAAGATTAAAAATTAACGGATTAACAGCAATTGAATATCAAGTTTCAAATAAAGACTTCAAGTATCATTTGTTGAGAGAAAGAGGATAAAGGAAATTGAATTAAAATATGTTCATCATGAAATGAAAACATTTTGTTACAAAATTGGTAACAATTACGGAAACTGGATTAAATTGAGCTTAGGAAACAATAACTTGATTACAGGTTGGAAACAAGAGTTAACCAAGTTATGGTTATTATCGTACAACAGCTAAACATGTAACATTGCGATTCAAACATGGTACGGCTTTGGTTGAGCATGAAATTGACGAACAGTTGAACAAGTTGAACGAAAAGAAAATTGCATTTTTTCCCTGAACAATCATGTACTTTACCTGATTTGTTTAATTTTATCCTGATGTTTAACCTCTTTATGGACAAACGAGGTTGATATATGTTTAGATATGGCACATTGAGCGATAATCAGTAAGACAAGGTTACAGGAAAGGATGAAAGCCAATGGAAGCACAAATGATTGAAGTACGACCGTCGAGTTGATCCAGCAAACGGTTGATCCACCGTACGGTGATCCTGATAGACCGAGGGTTAAACCTATCAGGGTCAAGGGTGCAATGTAGGCAGTGATTAGGTAGATGGGCAGTCGAGACGAGGTTGTCTCATAGGTTTCGATAAGTGTATAGTAAAGGTGGATCGACTCCATGAGCATCCACAGGAATGAAGCAGTTAGAGTATAGTGAAGTGATGCAGCAATGATTGAGCAAAAGGTGTTGAGGTAAACTTTGTCAATGCCCAAGATGAAGATGAGTTCAACTGCCAGTAGGCAAAGGCACAAATTGGCGTGGATAAAGGTTCGTTCAGCTCGAAGATTTCTATCGATATGGAAAAGTGTTGAAAGAAGAAAAAACATAATTGAATTAAATTCATTGCTTCATGTGATACAAATGTTTCATCTTCTCTTGTTTACATCATTATTGTAAGTGTATTGATTAAGAAAATTGATTTATGCAAATTAAATTATCTTTTTTAGCTTTTCTTTCTTTACCGGGATTGCTGCTTGTTCAACATTTTGTTTGCTTTATTCACAGAAAAGTTGCGCTCTTCTGCCATTAAAATGAGTTTATCATTAAATTCATGATCAAGTTCATGATCGAGTTCATGATTGAGTTTACGATTGGATTCAATTTTCTAGTTTAATTTAATAATGGCTTTTCTTGAAATTCGACTTTTTTATATTCCAATATGAAACTTATTTCTTTTGCTTTTTGCAACTTTTCAAAGATTTTCATAATTTTACAATCATGAAACATGGGTTAATGGGAATATGAAATGATGGACTAATGAGAAGCGAGAAAAGTTATGTAAATGAAATGATCTACAATTTGCAGTCAATTTATGCAAATTGCTGAAAACTCATTAAATGACATTACTATTCTAGTTGCAGTTGTTGATTTTTTCTGCTCTTTTTCATCTTCTCACGATTCACCAAATTAATGATCTTGTTGATTCAACTAGACTTTCATCTTGCTAATTGATTTCACAGCAACAACGGAAAGTTTCCAGTCAAAGTAAAAGGGTTTGTCTTATCGTCCAACTTTCTTTTCAAAATAATGATGATGGACTTTTTGGCTCGTCTTAATGTACTAGACTTCTTGACCATTTCATATTAAATAATACCATTAATGATGAGAATAGAGTAAATTTGAAAAGTCACAACTCGCAATAAAAATGAAATGTTACAATTGAAAATGTTTTTTTTCCTTCTTGAATCAACAGGAAATCGATGGAAACTCTAGAGACTATCGATCATTTGGAGTCACTTTCCATGAAGGGTTAACATTTTTCTCGCAAATATTTACTCTCGGCTCCAGGGTCAGTTGACCAATGTAAATGCACAACTTGTGTCCATTAGTTTACACTCGATTCCTTCCCTTCCTGAACCCAATTATTTATCAGCTAATTTTCATCCCTTTCTCATTGATATTTTTCCTTCACAACTAAACCCTTCAATAAAGAGATGCATTACTTCACATCATTTCCTCTTCTCATTCCTTCCCAATCCATCTACATCATTCCCTCTCAGCAAACATTTACTAATTATCCATTGATATTGATTGATGTTGAATGTCAAACTAAGGCAAAAAGTTGATTTCATTTTAATTGCAATAAACTAGCAAAATCAAGGAAAGAAGGAAACAAAAAATCTCCAAATTCACTGATAAATTTTTACCTTTTTACCTTCTTTCTGAGAAACTTTTGCATAATTGATTCAAAGTTGATTATGTTGTAAATATTGCAACCAACAATTAAGTTGATTAAGACTTAACAAAGCTGATTGCTCATTGTTTGCCCATCGATTGTAATCTTTAATCTTTGATTATTACCTTTTATAATTAATACATTTTCATCTCGGCAACTTTTAGGATTTTTGAGAGAAATAAAGTTTTTCCTTTTTTTCAACTTTTTTTAATTAGATAATTGTATTTGTATATTTACGGAAAAGAGGTGAGTGGATGAGATTTAAATTAGTTTTGGAGTGAACTATTCAAACTAAAAATTCAACAAGTATTGATTCAGCAATTAATCAAAAATGATGAGGCTCGGGATGATCAGCAAGAGGCTCAAGGTTGCTTCGGGTAAAAAGTTTACAATTATTGTTACAATTAACTTGACGGTAAACTGTAAACATCAATAATCTCTGTTCTGATGCACTGTAATGTGTTTGTACCTACGCATTAATTTAAAAATAATTACATCCAAACTATAAAAGGTGGTTTTAAACTTTAAAACTTAACCTTAAACTCCCACTCGATATTTTTTTATATTTCATTTCGTTTCTTGGCTGTTAGTTTTGACGCTCTGATCAACTTGAATTAAAATCAATTGATTTGTTACATTTTTAATGTTCAATTGGATCAACGTTGAATTTCAAATGGGAAATCATTATCGATTCAATCATATTAATAGCAATGAATTTAAAATTTAATTTCTTTCTCGCTCAAACTTTCTCAATTTATTTTAGTTTACAATTTTGTATTGAAAAGCAACGGAACAATTTAATCGCTCTCTGCGTAAATTTCAAATTTCAGTTTGTTCGACTTTTGATTTCTAAATAAAATTTGAAAATTTTGTAAAAAATCGATTTACAGTTTCTTCATTTTCGCTTCTTAGAACACACTGGAATATTTGAATCGATAAACTTTTGTTCAGCTTTTGGTTAATGTTTTTTCCTTTTCTGTTAAGCTTATGGAAAAGCAAACAAAATCGTTAAATCAATGCAATCATGTTGGACGAATGAATTTAAAGTTTACTCAGTTAGGCTCAGTTGGGACTGAATTTTCCCTAGAAAAATCTTACCTGAAAACGAGAAAAGTAAGTAAACAAATGCAGAGGAAAAATGAGGAAACAATGCAACCGATTCGAGTAAGGCCATGAAGTATCAATCCACCGAAACCCGTCATCTATTATTTGGTGAGAAAGTGTTTCAAAGGAAAAAACGGAAAAGAGAAAAAAGTTTGAAATTAATTTTTTTTGCTTCATTCGACTTGAGTGGAAAAGTCATCGGAAGTTACATCAAAATTGGCCGGAAAAAAGGAAAAAGTAATAATGTAAAAAGAAGAAAAGTTTTGACCAAAAGAAATGAAAATATAGATTGACAAGTTTGACCTCGGGAAAGGAAACTAGAGTTGGGTCAAGGTTAAAAGATGGTAAAAGGCGCAAGAAGTTGGCCTTTCATACGTTACCTCTTGTCGAGTAAAGTCAACTAGAACAGCAAAGTTGGTCAAATGGTTGCAACGGCACAGAGTATGAGTATCATTTGAGTTAACAGTTGTGCAACCAAACTCTGACCACTGTGATGAGTCCCAAAAGACGCAACGAGCATTGGTTATGTTTTCAACAATTAAATGGCGAAACATTATCTCAATGGGTTCTCGCAACAGAATCATTGAGGAACCATCTTTGGGAACCAAAACACCGACCACATCGCTGTTGACAATTGTTGCCACAATATGTTGATCATTATCATTATTATTAGAGTTGATATTGTCAACATCAACATCATTGTTATCCTTGTTATTGCTATTCATTTTATACTCTTTTATCCCTCTGTCACTCAGCATCTCTGAATCTGATCCCATTGATGATAACAAACCAGATGGTTCACTTATAATGGGATCTAAAAGGTGACCCATTTTACCATAGACAATGTAACCTATTCGAATCATGTTACGTCGTGTAAGGTCAGTTAAACTTATCCGAGGTAAATATATTGAATTACTATTCTCATTGTCACCATCGTAAATTGGAAAATCGGCAGAATTTTGGTCCCGAAATTTTATTACATTGTCACTAGTTTTCTTTGAATTTACATCTTCTTTAGGCAATTGCAGGCCATTCGGTAATTGATCCAATCGGTGAGCGTGAATAGACATATCTAAATAATGAATACAAAAAAAGGTTTAATTTCAATCTCAAAACATTTTCAACATTCAATTCAATAGAGCAAAAGAGCAAAAACAGATTAATCTGAGAGCTTGATTTGATGTCTAAGCATTTCATCTAATGATCAGACACAGGTTTGCATTACTTCTTAGGTCTACTTTAACAGAATGAAATAGCTACTATTTGTATGCTTTATACAAGTGCAAGAAGATTCATCATTTAGCAGGTTAGTTGATCACATAGTTATCTGCAATACGACTTTAACATCGTCAGTTAGGCGAATAATGGGAAATTTTTATTCCAAGTTAGTCTCGTTGACTAAAGGTTCATTTAAAATTGTCACTGATGACTGTTGACTGTTTAAAACAAAAACTATTGTCAATGCAAAATAACCTTATGATGCTTTCGAGGCAAAAAGTTGATAAACTTTGATTCAACCTTGAAGGTGAAACCTTAGCTTAAAGAGTTGACTTTTTTAATCATCAATGTGTAGTAGAGCAAAATCAACTTTAATCATCAAAGTGATCATTTTTATACCAACAGTTGATTTGATGATTGGTGTTTAACTTTGCGTCAAATTGGCTTGACCTGGAAATAGATTAAATTTGATGAGCAACTTGAAGGTTGCACACTCAAAAAACTGTTAATTCAATTTGAAAGCGCTTTATTGACATGTTTGTAAATACTCGAGTTGAACAAAAATGACAACTTGAAACGATTTAAATTGCATTTTCATTGCAATGCTCAATGGACAATGGTCATTGATAGGCGTTCAGGGAGTTTCATTATTAGATTAACTTTCATTGTCTCTGCATTCATCATGAAACTCAGTTTTCTTATCATCACGGTTATCCATTCATTTTTTATAAGCTCTTGAGATAATCTTGTTTGAATATAGATTTGAATGATCGTGAGCTGTTTAAAGTATAAATGAAAAGGTGACAAATGCAATGAAAATGCTGAAAAGAATCATAAAAGCATAAAACTGGACAAGTTCAGAGTTTCCCTTCCCTGGAGCATTTTCAATTATCTGACAAAAACTATTCATTTTTATCGATAAACAGTGATTCCAAGCCATTCACCTTCTTTTCATCTCTCGATATTCACATAAAAATGTTTTTTTATTATGGCAACAGTTATGAAAATAACAGTTTATGATGATAAAAAAACTTATTAATACTCGATAAAAGCCTAATAAGTTTGCCCATTGATGGACAGAAGAGTAAAAAAATGCGTCTTTTCCATTTCGTTTTATCTTTTTCTTCCTTCACCATTCAATCCATTTCCTTTTTGTGATACACTTTTTTGTTGTCATCGTTTTTGATCGCATTTTTACTTATCCAGAATAAAGTCACTCTCTTCATTTCATTATAGTTTTTGATCAATTCTTAAAGTGAGAAGAGCAAAAAATTTATTTCTCTCTTGAAAGTTACTCAAGGATAAATCTTAATCCTATCAAGATGTTCAAGATGGACACTATTGTACCATAGACTAGGGTATTAACTTTCAATAAGATGATATACTTGTAATATGAGAAATCGTTCTCATACTTTTTTCCTTTGTTGTATCATGATTATTGTATTTACAACAATAATGATGAAAATCTGTTTTCTTTTCAACATTTACTGTTATGTGAACTTTTCTCAATAGAAGCAGCATTTTTTAAGCAAAAGAAAACTTGTTCAATGAGATTTTGCTCACAAACAAAAAAGCGCAATTATTAAGCTAATGTTGTTCGCCCAAATTTCATTTATTCATCAAATGTTTACTAGAATCCAAACATCATTTTAACACAAAAAAACATCAAAAGCCCCTTAACATGCCCAAGTGCAAAAAACTCGAACAACTAATTTTTTCCAATAATTGACTTATTTTGCGTACTTTTAGTCTCAAATAATTTCACTTGAATGATGTGTGGAATCGTTGAAAGATTCAAAGTCTAAACGGAATCTGCAAAATATTGGAATGATTGTAAAAGCTTGGTGAAGAAATATTGGAACCAAATAAACTCGAACTACAAAAACGATCGCAGCTGTATTTTGAAACGGAAAGTTTGTATCTTCATCAAAATTATTGACCCGAATAAACGAGCATCATTGAAATATCAGTATAATTAATAACCTGCTGTTCAACAACCAAGACACTGACTGGTAATTATGTTTAAGTAATTAATGAAGAGATGAGATTATAATGAAATGTTACATTCTTTGTTTGAATCAGTTTGAGCCAAACTCGAGGCCTTTATGAAGTGACTTTTAAACTCTTGTTACATTGACGTTAATTTGTTGAAAGCACTGCTGATTAAACATTTCAAATTGTGACGATCTTTCATTTTTGCTGATTATCATGTGTTGATGGTTTTCAACTTGATTCAATGTTCATCAAGTTGAAAATGGTTTGTCGGCTAAACAAATGTCATTTTCAATCTCTAATCAAAACACAATCAATCTCTTTTTGATTATCATTTTGTTTAAGTTTCGCCAACAAAGCAAAACATTTTTATATTGCAAGACAAGAAACAAAGATGAAACATTCATCATTGATATGCTAAGTGAATCACATAGGTATTATATTCATCAATCAACATCACCTTTGAGCATCACTTGGCTAACTAATAGGAATAAAAATGAGTGAAAAGATGAAGCAAGATACAGCAAGAAGAAGAAGCAAAGGTAAAGAACAACAAAAGAGACAGAAAAATTGACTGGGCGTGAAATAGACTTGAATATGTAGACAGAGGAAAAGATGAAGTTGAAAGATTATAGCAGGTAAGAAGAGGAAAAAGAAATGATTCTGTGTATCAATAATTGAAGATGATGAGCACAAAAGGAGCAAAAATTAATCTCAAGTAAACTTCATCCTACACAAGATTCAAAGGGATTGGTTCAAGTGAAATGATAAACTTTTGTTTCGCCAAGTAAAATGAGTTTCATTTGGATAACAAAATTCAAAGTTTCTTCTGTTTTCACAAATGTTAAAGGTGAAAGCAACTGAATTGATTTGTTGAACAACAGAAGATGAAAAATATGAAACAAACAAATGAATAAATAACTCGATTGCAACAATAACAATAAATTATGGATAATTGTTGATACAATTTTACATTCACAGACAAGTAGGTTGGTTCAAAGGTGAAATTGAATTTTTAATTCAAATTCTGTTGTTCCTTATCCAAAGAATTTATCATTTTTTTCCTTCATTAATGATGCAAAAGTTTACAAGTTTAAAAAGATGAGGTTCATGTAATGAATTGGATAATTTCAATTTAACCAACTTTTCCTTTGCTGACAATGTCAATCAAATTTGTCTATATTTTGCTTTAAATGTTTAGTTTGGTTTACTGTTCATTAATCAATGTGAAAATGGGTTGAAAATCAGGGTGAAGCTTTTTCTCATCAAAAATGAATCAATCTTGAAATTTTGAAAGGCATTAAGCCTACGATGTAAATGAAAATCCTTTTATTGGCAAATTTTCACCCAACAAAGTTCAATATCTATTGGATATTTTGTTGTTTTCGCCACAAAATTCAACTCTAATTAGCCTTGGGTAACTCTCAATGGTTCATTTGGAAAAACATTTTTCATGCCAAACCTTGAAAACTTAAAGTTTCATCTGAATTCAGGTAAACTCATTTCCATTGAAACATTTCCATTGCTGGTTTGCTCTTCATTGACAACTTTTCAACTCTTAATTGGCTTCAATATCTTTACATCTTCACCTTTTCATTTCCAAGTTATCATCTTTTAATGATTAAGTTTTATCAAAAAAATGTTCATTTTCTTTTCAGCAAAACTATCAACAATGGAAAATTATTTTCTCTTTGAAACTTTTTCTTTTATTTTCATTGTTCAACATTTTTACTCATATTGATGTTCAATTTGTATGGAAACATATTGATATTCATATTTTTCTGGGTAAACTGAAAGTAAAGAAAAGAAGGAAAAATGTTTATTCCAATTGGTTTTTGGTGCAATATTGAAATATCTGAAGAAGAAAAAAGTCAATTTTTTATCAATTTTTTCTTCTCTTCTTTGTGTTTGTGCTGAAAGCATAATCAGAACTTTGTCTAGAGAAATAAACTGAAAGACACCAAAAAGAACTAGGTTAAAGGGAGAAAATGTTAGAAAATTTCCTTTTCTCATTGCAATTCCTTCTCATCTTGTTACTGGTTTTGTTTCAATGCAAAAAAGTGTATAAAAGTAAAAATAATATTGAGATTGTTTCATTGATCCTGTAAACAGTAAAGTCCATTTAAAGGGAAATCCTTTTCAATTTAAGGAGAGAAGATGGCGAAAAGAGCAAAAGATGAAGATTGGAAAAGATGCCATGAAAAGATAGATACAATTGGCTGTTTCAATTCTTCAGAGAGAAAACTGAGAAAAGGCTTCTTTCTTCCTGGTGTCTGCAAGAATTGAAATGAAGATGAAGAATAAGGAAATCTTGAGGAATTGAACAAGACGGAAAGAAGAAGAGAAAGAGCAGAAAAAAAGTTTTTTCTTTCCTGCTCAAGAAAATAACTTTACTGAAAAAAAAAGATTGATGGTAAAGTGAGGTAAACTATTTCTGAGTCTATTTCGTTGCTTATATTACTTTGTATTTATTTATACATTTATTTTTGCTAAACTTTCGTTTCTTTTTCCTCTCGCATTTACTTCATCTATCTTTACAGTCATTCATAATATTTTGTTGCTCTTTGGCTCTTTCAATTTATCTGCTTTTTTCCCTTACAAAATGTTATTGTTTTGAAATTCGTTTACTTACACAAGTTAGCATTTGATTGATAATAATCACCAGTTGATGATGCAGTTTCCATGAAGACTAGAGTTATCCTTTCAAATTCACTGATTAAGGCAGCCGCAGATCGAGTTCGATCAACTGGTAAAAGATCATACCAAGCATCTCGGTGAATATCGTCAAGAAGATTACTACAAATATCGAGCATTATCTGTAAGAAAACAGAAAAAAATATTAGAATTTAAATAACTAAAATTTCTATCGCCTAATGAGCGGGAAAAGGCTGACAAAAGGTTCGCTTTGAGTTTTATCTTTAAGATCAAGTTTGATCAAAGTCTATCAACTCGACTCAAAAGCATCATCAGGTTTATTATTGTGACAAGAAATTGATGAGATTCAAAAGACTTGCTTCAGTGACAGCTGATGATTCACCAAATGACTAAAGATTTGCTTCTAATAAATAATTCACTCTCTTTCAATGCACTGACCGATCAAAGTAAAGACTGAAAACTTGCTGCAACTTCTCATCAGTCTAAATGTAATCCTAGTTTTTTGTTCATCTCATTGAGTTATCCAACTCATGTGCTTTTTGAATTGAGCAGCCAACTTTGGTCAAGTTGAATCTTTCATCTAATATTGAATGCTTTAGTGAAGTTTATAGCTCTCTAGGAACGGATATCTAGACGGACTTTTAATGCTCATATTATGTATCATCTGTGATCTGCAAAGTTGGCCGACAAGTGTAGTTTTTTGCTGAAATTATGACAGATTAATGTTTCTTTTTCAGAATATCATCACTTTTTGCATTTTGATTCTAATTGATTTAATTGATTTGGATTTTCAACCATTTCTGCTTCATTTGTAGTTGTCTAAATGTGTTGACTTGGCTTGTCTGATTTACAGTTGATTAAACTTGTTGAATGAAGAAGCATTAATGAGGCAAAAGTTGGTGAAATATTTTGTGCTAATGAGAGTACTTTTAAGCTGCAAAATGGTGGTAATTTTTTGTACTTTAAAGGTTAATTTTTTAGAGAATTATCACCATAAATTGAAGAAAAAAAAGATAAGATAAAAATTGAGTGATGATGAGGGTTTGGTTAATTTTGATTGATAATTAATTTGATAGCAGCTAATTTAATGGTGGAAATGCAAATATTGAAGTAACCAGAATAAAGGAAAGCGGGTCAAAAGCGCTCAACATTTAATTACTTTTTTTTATTGATGCAAACAAATGAGCATCAATCATTGCATTCAATACTTACTTTAAGAGTTTCTTTGACAAAAGCAAATTGCTTATCTTCAGGATAATCTGATAAGCCAGTTTCAATTTTACTAATCAATTGACTAATAATGTCAATGATAGGGGCTATGTCACCTCCAAACAGTGGACGGTGTTTGGTTCCCTCAACCAGGTCAAAGGCTGTCGTTAGAATGGGCTCTTCTTCACGAATCCTATTCTCAACTGACATTAACCATTTTGACCGGCAACCGGACAGATCGGCTTCCGGCTTTATCCAAACGGCAGTTCCGTAAGGATCAATTGAGCAAAACCATTTGGCTGATCCTTCACCTAAGTAGGGGCACTCTTGACGGACTAATGAACCTGGTCTTGTCCAGTTCCAGAAAAGACCACGTGAAGTGATGGAAGGACAAAAGGCACTTTCATTGTGAGAATGATGATCAAGGAAAGAAGATGAAAATGATGATGAAGACGTGGATGATGATGATGGTGAGGAGGAGGAGGAGGATGCATTTGACTTAGTAAAAGATGGTAATGAAGGAGGGTGCAATGTTTTCTCAGGTAAAGGAAAAGGTGAAGATTGCACGGATCCATCATAGGGCGGATGATCAGGCCAACTTGGTGAAGGTACAAGTGAAGGTGAAAAAGATGAATGTAATGAAGATGGAGTTGAAGAGGATAAAATTGGAAAAGATGATTGATCTCCTTCATCGGATGAAATGTGATTAGTCTTTGTAAAGGTTGACTCTTTAGTTGAACTTGATTTGGTTATTGCATTTTGATTATTGTCTCGAGAAGGCGCTTTATCACTTCGCACGTAAGGTGAGACTGTTGTAGTTGAACTTGTGCTGGTGGTTGAAGGTGTAGAGGTTGTTGTTGTAGTCAATTGGGTTGTCCATTGACCAGGTTTATTGGGACGTCGTTTCTTGTGATCTGCAAAGGAAAAAGAAAAAAATGTTGAAAAGAAAAATTCGGCAAAATTTATTTCCAACAATTCAAGTTGTTCATGCCTTTTCAGGATGTAAAAATTGAGATCAATTTAACCCTCATTTTCGTGCATTTCCCTCTCGTTGCAATTTAAATCCAAATTTTGGTTAAATTTAGACAAAATTGGTCAACAAGTTTCATCATAATTGCTTCAAATTGCTATAATTACAGAGAAATTTTGATTCACTTGAAAAAATTGGACATTTTTATATTCTCGTCTGAATGCGTTTCATGAAGAAAACTTGAAATTTTTTCTTCTTCTCATTCTTCATATTCATGGTTCAAGACGTTCCCTTGATGAGAGGGTCAACATGAGACTCGCTTGTTACGAGGCATCATTTAAGTGGGTGATGATGGATTACTTGTTTGTTGCTGTTGAATAAGAAAAATGAAGAAAAATTGAAACAAGAACTTGATCATCATTTGTCCAAATTTTCTCATCTTTCATCTTCTCTCAACTGTTCCGTTTCCTTGTTCATCAATTAAATCTCAATGTATGTCAAAAAAGAGAATCAATTTTTCAATGAATTCGTCATTTTCCATTTTCAACTCATTTCCATCATCATGTTATCAGGAAAAAGGTTGATGCAACAAATTTACCTTTAATTATTGTCACCATTAATCTTGCCAACTGAACACACCTTGAATCAACATTTGGAACACACAGAATTTACCTTTTCTTCTTTTCCAAAATTACTCTTGACGTTGCAATTAATAAATGTTTACCAGCTTTCAATGAACTCAGAACAACTCATCTATTTTACTTGATAACTTATCATGTAATTTCAAATAAATATTTTAATATTTCATCAACTTTATTCCTTCCTTTGATTTGCCAAAATACAGATTCTCAAGTTACTTGGTCTTTCCTTTCAACCTGATAAAGTTGCTGTTGTAATAAAATGGCTTTGGGCACTTTGCCACTAACATAAAGGAAAAATGCAGGTAAAGGTAATATAAATATTGCCAGAGTAAAGAGAGCTTGAGATGAAGCATTTTCTTCTGTTTTTTTACTTCTCATCATGATAAGGGTAAAAACTGTATGAAAATGCAAGATAAAAGATCTTGGTTTTTCTCTTTTCCCTCGTTTTCTTCAGAAATTTCACTTTTATCCTGATTAAATGTAACATGATATTGAGTAAAGATCAAATGGTAAATGCTCTTTTCCATCCTTCCTTTTCTGCTTTGTGCACAATTTATTCATAGATGCACATCTCGCTATTAACTACCTAATGAAACAAATTTTGTTATCAATATTATCAGAGAAAAGTCGGCTTTCAAAAGCTAAAAGTTTGATAACGAAACTCGACTCTTCCTGACCATTAGTCAAGTCGAGCTAAAAACAGAGTCTTCACCGAGTCGTGACTTTCTCTTTTGCTATTCATTCTTCATTTCGATATTTTTCAATCTTGATTTCGATTTCAATCGAACTGAAAATGCTCAAGAAATGATCTTCGATTTGTTCCTAACTGTAAAAACGACAAAAATTGACCTTAAATCGAATCAAAAGTGAAGGTAAAAGTTGCTTTCCAAATAGATGTTTAAATGAGTTTTGGCTCGATTGATTAATAGCAAAGTGAGAGAAAACTTTTCCCAACAAAACAAAACATCTTGAGCCATTATTTTTGAAAAGATTATTAATTCAACAGCCGTTGCCATGGGAATGTCGACTGAAACAGATTTCAAGGAATGAATCCAATAATTTGACAAAGAAAAGCAGGGAATCTTCTTTTCCTTTTTTCTCTCTCTTTTCGTCTTTTCTCAACATTATTACATCTAAGTTTTTATCGGATATGAAAATTTTCCCTCCATTTACATTACAAATGAAAATTATAGTTTCCTTAGTAACCAGTAAAAGTATCAAGAGTTGGATTCAAGTAATGAAACTAATGATGTTAATAGGCAATAACGAGGCAATAATATGAATGAAAATCAAACATCAACAATCGATGCTGGTAACTATGCAAGAAAAGAGTGTTCATCATATTTCAATATCGAATTTCTTTTCGTTTCAATGTTTACCATTTGAATCAATTTCATTTTGTTTACTCATTTTTTGGACTAAAAAAATGCTTCTATTGAATTACATATTCAATGTAAGAAATTATGACAATATTTTGACGCAAAGAGAAGAATGGAAAAGACGAAAAAATCGAATTCTTTTGCCAACTGTTTACAAGTGAATTAAAAGTGTCAAAAGTAAATGTTGACTGTTTACAAAGAAATTGATCAAAAAGAATGAAATGAAACACCATGTTTTTACCTGTCAACATTTCTGTTTCAATGTACATCAATGACAAGATTCAATTCCATTCTCATTAGATATCAGTTTTCAATTGAACATTTAAAATTCATTACCAAACTCTATTGTCATTGAAGGTAAAAATGAATGAAACAAACGAGATGAAAAGAGTTTTCAATTTAATCCAATTTCAATTGCAACGAAATGTTGATGAAAAAACTCGAAACTCGACAAATTTTTCTCTAAAAACTCAATTTTCTGAATTTTATTCCTCAACTTTAAGTAAAAAATTTGAAACTTGGAAAACTTTTTAATTAAAAATTCCAAGCTCAGCTCAAGTGAACAGGAAAAGGCGATATTCAACAAGTATTTGTATCAACACTTTTGTTCAATTTATTGTTGCACTTGAATTGGGTAAACATGTTATTAGAAGTGTAATGGTCGAAGGGAAGGAATGGTCAAGTGTGCAACTTCAATATTACAAGTAAATATGGGCAATTGTTGATAGATAATTAAAGGTTTGGGTAAAGAGAGAAATTGCTATTTTCTGTTCACAGAATTCATCATTTACCATTATTGAGCTGTCTTGTTATCCTTGTTATTTAACTGACCATCATTAACAGACAATATTGCCCATCATCACAACTACAATATTCATTTTGATTATACATTTGGTTACTTTATTGGTGATCAAGAGAAGTGAGTAAAACTTGTAAATTGGATTCGGGAAATGTTCCATTTTAATTGTCCATGAATGGACAATTAAGGAAAACTTTGATGGTTATTGTTCATTCTGTGGTTTATTACAGATTTACTCATGAGAACCTTGAAATGTGACCTTCAATGTGCACCTTTTTTATTGACACAAGTTTATGGTAATGAAGGAAAAGAAAATTCTGATTCATTTTATCGTTTAATCAATGAACATGAATTTGCCCTTTTTCATTCATTTTCATAGTTTATTCTCATTTTAATCAAGGTGTAAATGGGAGGAGATGCAAGAGGTTAAGGGATGGTTTAATCAAAATAATGAATCATTCAACTTTTATCAATTATAGATTGAGTGAAATAGATAACATGGTTTCACTTCATTTTGTATCATCTTTCAAAGGGAATCTAAAAAGGTAATCAAAATGTGCATTAGCTAATGATTAACCATGCATTAGAAAATATTAATTGAAATTATTGAAAATTCATGTTCTCTTCAAACTTTGTAAGAACCATCAGAATGTATAATCTTATTCAGAAAACAAAAAATTCAGTCTCTTTGTTTTCGGCAAACTTTTCATTAATTCGAAGCTAAAGAGCCAAAAACTTCTATCAATAGATCTTCAAAGATTTACTTTTTACTAGATTGGTGATTGATTAAGTTTCATGTTCTGAGCTTCAATTTCCGAACACATAATTTCGTTATTCATTGGCGATTCTTCAGTGAATAAAATCTCATAAATAACAAATTCGCAATGAAATGGGCTGAAGAGATTTTGTGATAAAATAAACTCAAAAATCAGCTGAGAGAATCTGAAATCAAAGTTGAAACTTTTTCGATTATATTGCGATTCGAATTTCAAAAGAATTTAAAAAGAAGACGGAAATTGACTGAGTTTTGTTCTGTATGAGAAGAAATCAGATAATTTCGAATAAATTTTTATTGGAATTACACCCAAATTTAAAAATCGCACTTTACCATCAAAGATTGCTGGATCCTCTCAAGCTAATTAGTTCATTTAGATTTAGAATGAATTCTCTATGAATGCGATTAAGAAGTTTCGCACTCATTAAACTCTTTTTCTCATGAGTATTTCAAAGTTTCATGAAGAAATATCTTTTTCGAAACTTGAACCTTCTTCTAAATAGTGCACATTAACAGGAATATCAATCAATTTTTTGGCACTTGAATCAACTCGACTAATGAATGGCTCTTACCTGATATACATTGATAATGAACTTCAAGATACTTGGTGTTCCCAGGGCAACCATCACCAAACTGTTCTGCTGTTGCCGTAACATGGCATTCATTTTTACTTTCACATCTGGATAAGAGAAAGGAATGAAGCAAAGAGAAGATACAATATTATATTTTATCCAACAATAAAAATAATAACAATAATAATTCAATGTTATGATAAACCATTAAAAGCACTTTCTTTTATTGTTGATGTGCATTTTCACTATTACTTTTATTACTTTTAGTTATGAATTATCAATGACATTATCATTACATTTCTGATTACTCCAAGAATTATATTGAAAGAGCGAACAGAAGAAGAAGCAAAAGAAAAAAGTATTTTCATTTTCATCGTCAAAACAATGAGCAAAAATCAACAAGATGAACCCAATAATAGCAACAATAACAAAAATGTGCAGCAAAAGTCAACAAAAAGTGACAACAGAAACGGCAACAAGGAAAGGATAAAGAATCAATGGAGAAAAAAATTCAATAATTTGACCAAAATTGGCATAAATTGAACAGAAAGTCTTATTCAGTTCATTGACAGATACTTTTTTGTGCCCAATTTCATTAACCATGACAATTGTATGCTTTTCAAGTTGTAATCATCATGTTTATTCTCAATTTATTATTACTTGTCAGCCGCTATTCATTCAACTTTCCCTTGGTCTCCCTCTTTCAAAGGTGATATCATCAATTTTACGATAAATGACGGTCAACAAGCAATAGCAATCAAGATAAATTAGATTTATATTATAAATATTCTGTGACCGGTCAACCAGGTTTGTGTTATTGTTGCTCATCAAACATCATCATCAGGGTGGCCATTCAATAATTTACAAAAGCAGTAAAGTGAGTAAAGTAACAAAAAGAGAGGAGGAAAAGAGGAGGGTGAGGGTGGAAGATGAATGCAGAGAGAAGAGAGAGAAGAGAGAAAAGCAGAGATCAAATTAACTGGACTGTATATAACATCCTGTGAATCAAACCTTTTTTATTATTCATTGCCAATCTACTGTTATCTGCATCGTATAATATTGCGAATGATAAGGCAAAGCAAATAAAAAAAGTTGAAGGAGGACCAAGAGGAAGGGACAGTGGGTGGAAGATGAAACAAGAGAAAAACTATTAACCTAATGGACCATCAATGAGGTTTCCTCATCATTCCCTTCTTATCCTCTTCTCCATTTACCATCTTTTCCATATTTACCTTTTCCATCTTTGATAACTTTCTTTTCTGTGTCTCACTTGCATCCCTCGCTTCATCACTTTCAACCGATTCAGACTCGCAATCTGGTTCAATTAATTTCACTTTTTTGGCCAGTTGCAATGTTGATAAAGTTGAACAAAAGTCATTGCAAATGATTTGTCAAAATGTTTTTTCATCAACATTTGTCTACTCATTGAGATTCATCATTTCCCTATCAACTTCATCTTGAAAATTTTGTGAAACTCTTGATACCAAAGAGAGTGGGAAGAGAAGATGGATAAGAGGGAAAAGGCTGAATGAAGAGGCCCTCAGCCACCTATCAACATTGAAATTGTTGATTTTTCTACCAACACGGGCAACAACGGGCAGAGTATTTTTTGCCTCATCAAGTGAAGAGCAATGTTGGGAAACGAGATGATAGTGAGGAAGAATAAGGTGAAGAGAAGAAATTGTTTTGACAAGTTGCTGGTTATCAAGGTATCAACAATAGACAACCTTTTCGCGATCAGAAGCTGAAAAAAGATGATAATGATTAGGATAACAGAGTGATGATGATGACTTTGAAGCTTTACCAAGCATAACATGAGCCCACCTTGAGTGTTGTTTGCATTGAAAGGTAAACCTTTGTTTTGTTCACTCTTTTCCTTTTATTCACTTTTCTCTTTTTTTCAATCAAAAAGTTGAATGTGAATATTAAATGGTGCAAATTGCCTCAAGGGGTTCAAATGATTGCACAGTAAATGTGCCTATTCCAAGACTGTTAATCATCATATCATAATGTTTAAATCATTACTTTTGTCGGGAGAAGAAGAAGAAGAAAAAAGTATAACAATGAAACCATGGAAATGAACATTAGAGATAAAATTAATGTTTCATTTTTTCGCCTCTCTTTCCATTCGACTGTTCATTTCCCTGGTTTCAGTTCAGTTTGTCTTTTCCTTGAATATTCAACTCGATGTAAAAAGATTGTGCAAAGTGAACAAAAAATGATCACTTTTTTTTCGCCCTTCAAGTTTCACTCCAAGTCTCAAAAATGACAGATTAATGGACAATCAAAGTGTCAAACCAAATGAAATGGGAATAATGAGAATGAATTATCGGGTCAATTCTTGTCAGAATAAAAATTAACTATTGATTGGAATAAAATTGCAATCGATTCATCATTTGTTGTTCCTTCTGTTGTTGCTTCTCACTTTGAACCATGAAATTGGCTTCAAGCTTCGAAAAACGGTGAAAACTCTGAAAATGAGAAATCAAATTGAAAAAGCAAGTGAAGAGAAAAGAAAAGAAGGCAAGAAAAAAACAAAGAAAAAGATTGAATGAAGAAAAGGACGAAAGATGATGAATAATGATTGTTTTAGAGTAAAGATATCAATGAATCTGTACAAAAGGAGAAAATCTTTTTTTGTTTCCTTCCATGAAATGGGTAACAATGAATAAAGACTAAAATGAACTTTGAAAGAATCTAATCAAGTTTAAACTAGTTTCTTGTATCAATGCCAATATTGAACTTGGATTGAATGTAACACAAAATTGCATTTGTTTAGAGAGTCGACTTTTATTGAAACTCGTTTGAACACATTTCAACAATATTATTATCTTTGCCCAGTTTAGCTCAAGTTTCAAATTTTGCTTCTTTTTCCCTTCTTCATTGTCTTAACAACATCAACTGACACTGTCAATATCAAATGAAATAAAATTAACGATTCAAAGTGGAAATAAGAGGAAAGAATAAACTCTTTTTTCTCTCTCCCTTCATTCCCTGATATTACGGATAACTTTTCATCATTATTATTTACATTGACCATTTGCTTTTGTCAAATGCAATAACAAGAAGTAAAAAGTTCATCTTTTGTCTTAACCTTTCAATGTCTTTTGTTGTCCATCATTAGGAACAAAAGAATGTGAATGAATGAGAAAACAAGATCAAAATGGACAATGGACAATGTTTGGTTACTTCATTATTTCCAGATCATTTGGGTTACAGTTTATCGGTTCAATCTTTACATATGAAAATGGACGAAAAGAGATAAAGAAATGAGTCAATGAAAAAAAAGAAAAAAGTTTATCACAAAATCTCTTTTACTTTATCTCGGTGGAAGATTGAATCTCATTAATGGAGACTTTAAACATTTTCATTTTTCGGTGCAAAGATTATCCAATGATAGTCGCAACACCTAAAGGTAAATGGAAATTAAGGAATCTGAATAAAGGCTGAGCTTAAAGGGTAAAGTGAACAATTTATTAATAATGATAAGAATGGAAATTTACATTCCATTTGTAAGTCAACGCTGATGGGTTCCTATTATTTCCTTTTGCCTGCAGGAGAGGAGAATCATGAAAAAAGATTGAATTGAATCAACAACTTTAAATGTCTATCAGAGTAAATTGTTTGATAATTGTAACTTGGAAAAATGTAAATTTGTTTTCTGCAAAAGGGAATGTCAACGCTCATCAGAATATGAATAACTCATTTCATTTCATCAACCATTTCCATGTGAATTAACAAGAGGTTGAAGCGCGAAGAGAAGAAAAAAATGAAGGCGAAAAGTCGTGAATCAAATTGTTCTCAACAATTGAACAATTGCGAACAAACTTTTTCTCTCTTCGTTTTTCAACTTTTCCAGTCGACAAGCCTTTTAGCACAACAATATTGCACCAAAATGAATAAAAATGAGATTTAAAGTTAACATTTATACTTTTAAATGAACCAACAAAACTATCAAAGTGAAAAAAAGGTCAACAAAATTGAATTGAAAAAAAGTTTAACTTAAACTAATGGTAAAAATGGACACTTTGATTGCTTCGAGTGAATATGAAAATTGCTCTGGAAAATGAATGTAAATGTCTTTTGGTTGACAAGAGTTTTAAAAGTCGACTTTGACTCCAATCAAAGGAAGTAAATGTCACTTTCATTGATTAACATTTCTGTCATTTACATTGTGCATTTGTTATTGTTGCTATTTAAAGTTTCACTTGGAATCATTTGAATAAAGTCATGAGACATTTCAATACTTACAGATCGCTTAAAACACGAAAGCTAATGTGTGACATGCAATCAACTTGCATTCCAGCGTTTCCCTGGTCATTACAAATGGAAATGCTGAATCGCCCGAAATTGGCTCGAATCAGGCTTATCCTCGTTCCAGGGTTACAGGTTATGTTAGCAGATTGGCCTTCACAGGTCAACAGGGTCGCATATTTGGCTCCATCAACTGTACCAAAAAAAGAGTTTTTTCATTAGAAATTTTTTTCTCTTCACTGAACAAAAGTTTTCAAATTATCAATTAAATTATCACATTTGCTCAATTCATTACATGTTGCACTGAATGGACAGAATTGGTCATTTTGTCTTTACCATTGATAAGAGCAAAGGTGAAAAATCAAATGAATAAAAAGGTTGAAATGGAAAAAAATGTTTTCTCTTTATTACAAAAAGCGAAATGGTTTCAATTTATTTTCAATCAATCTCTGTCAGTTGTGAACATTTGTGATGAATAAAACATTTGAAACTTTATTTTCTTCTGATCACAACTTTTCTCTCCCTTTCATCCAATTTCAATTTTCATTCTTTGAAAATGAAAAGTTTGGAAACAAAATGGGAAAACATGAAAGTAGTTGTTGGAAAAGGAAAGGTAATTGTAATGATATAATAATCGGAATAATTTAAAGAACCAACAGAGGATAAGTTGTTGGGAGGCGAAGGAATAATCCATCTTGAGCTGATTCAAGGTGCAATGAAAAACACTAGTGAAATGAAAATGATGGATAATGAAGAGTTTATGCCAATAGGAATGTGAATGTTTTATATCTGTTTATCATTACCTCTTGTGGGTTTACCATTGTGTTGCTGTTGCTCTTGTTTTCATAAGGAAATGGGAAACAAATTTTCACGGTCAAATTATTTTGGATAAAAGAGGAAAAATGAGAATGGCCACAGAAAATCAGTTCATTGGTCTGAATAAATTGTTCAATTCCGTTTTGTGTTAATCGACAAAGAAACTCTTTCTACCTAGACTTGAATGAGCAACAGCAAAAGGACAAGAATGGACATTTAATTATCGAAATTTACTCAACACTTTATCAGACTGAAATTCGCTTGCAATGAAATCGAAATTCAATTTTAGAACAAAAAAATTTCATTTGCAATAAATTACACATTTTTTGTGCACTTTACGTTGGATGAAAAATGTCAAAACTCGAAAATTTTTCGAATGAATTTTGAGCAAAAATCAATCCTGAGTAATTTGGAGTTTGGATGCTTTTAGAGATTATTGAATGAAATTGGAATTACATTTAGAACGATATTTTTTTTCGATTTTGTACATTTCTTTTCTGAAAAAAATGTGAAGAAAGTCAGGCCTAGAGAAGGTTCTGAATGAGTTTTGGGCGAAAATCAATTTTAAGCAATTTGGAGTTTCGATACTTTTTGAGGTTCTTGATGAAGTTTGATGTTTGACAATTAATTTACTCGTTGCATTTGATGAAATGAATTTTCCATCAAAATCTCTTCAATGTGATTATACTTTTTTTTATGTCTTTTTGTAGCTTCAACTTTACTGTTGAATCAGCTTTTGAAATGGATTGATAAAATTTGATCGTCTGATTGATCAATGAGTTTTCCAGGGTTGAAGAAACTGTTGTACAATTAATTAGGAAAAGGAAAGAAAATCGAAAGATATTTGATTGAAATCAATTTTTGCCTTTCTTGTTTTGCTACTTTACAGGTTGCAGAAAAAGGTTCAAAGGTAAAAATCAATCAATCACAGGTAGCAACGATAAACTTTTTCCTTTCATTTCTTTCTGGTCATCATTTTATTGGCAAAATAATAATTGAATGTGAAATTGATGAGTTGGTCACGTGATTGCGGCCTTACAATTAACTTTAAATGAAGGAAAGGGAATTAATCTATTATTTTGCCAAATCTTTCACTTTGTCAGAATTAATATCAGAAAAAAAGTGGTGGTGAAAAAAAAGAGAAAACCCAATTTTCTTTTCACTTTCCTATTTTCTGTACAACTGGAGAAACAATATTATTACTATTATTAAATAATGAATAATGACAATGATAATCAAAGTGAACCAAGAAACAAGTTCATCTGTGAAACATTGAATGCAAAATGGTATTCTAAGGGAACTTTGATGAAGCAAAATAGATTCAGATTTTCGATCATCAATAACAAAGTTTTCAGCGTAAAAGAATAAAAATTTTCGCCAATAAAATTACTCAAGATGTTTGAGCAAAGAATTAAAAATCAAATTCGAAAGCATTAGAGATCGGATTCTATCAGAGTTTCGAGCTTTCGAGTAATTCATATTCTTAGACGTCAGGATAATAATTTCCTGAACATTTCTGCTCATCAAAACGCTAATTACAAATGCTTCGTTTGTTTAACTCTCACGAAACTCTGAAGAATCGAACAGATTTTCGTTCTCGTTGTTTCTCATTGACTAAGATTCAGTTTTTGCTTTGCCTTGGTAAATTCATCAAAACTGGCTCTTCTAGACTCATTGATAAACCTACGAAACATTGCAATGTAATCTTTACAAATGTGATTTACTTTTATCAAGTTGGCCTCATCTCTATCATTCACTTAATTGAATTTTTGCAGCCAATTTCAATGCCTTCTAAACAATCTGAACTTTAAGATCCAGAGTGTGAAGATGAAAAAAACAAACTTTTTTTTCTCTCTTCTCCTCTTCTTCTTCTTCCTTTCAATAATAAAAGCAACCAGAAATGAGGATGCTGAGCATTTCTTTTTTGCTCTTCATGGGACTAAATGAGTAGAGAGAAAATTTGATTTGTTCACTTGATTAAGTTAAATTATCAACTTTCCTTTCTATTTTTTCTCCCTTTTTCTTTACTTCTCCCTTCATCTTATTACAGAACCGATGAAATGTGTCTTTAATTGAATGATAAAGTGAACTTTATACAATTAACTTTTATCCGTTTGCTTATTAATACAAATTGTTGTTGAGCTTGCAGCTGAAAAATCCAAGTAATAAACTAACAAGTTAATTGCCAATGCAATAAATAATTTGTCAGTCGAGAGGAGAGAAAGAAAATGTTTTGTAAAATTAATGATTAAAAATTGATTTTTGTCACTGATAAGATGAAGATGAATGAAATGTATAATTATTGTATCAGTTTTCGTTGCACATGTCGCCAAGTGCCAAAGTGGCCAAAAAAGTGAACATTTCTTGGAGCCAACTTCAAGTGTAAATTGAGTCTTTACAATATGATTTATTAATCTAGTGAGGAAAAGATTGCCATGAATTTTTCTTCTTCCCCTTAAGGGTACTAATTGTGTGATCAAAATCAATCATGATAGTCAACTGATGGGTCAGTTAACAAGAAGCTGGACAGAAGCGCATAAAATGATCAACAGAAAATCATGAAATTCTCAAGTCAATAGCCTGGAGTAAGAGAAGATGTTCAGGTGAAAAAAAGAAGAAGCAAGTCAGGGCGACGTTTGATGAAGATAGAAATGAACTTCATGTAAACCATCATGTTCATAATGATATTAAACTGATGAATTTGCTCTTTTACTTTTTTCATCTTTTCGCATCACTTTACCATTCATGGTTTCCATCAGAAGGTCAATGATTTTTCTTTCCTTCGCATTCGGTGATTTATTCAACTCATCATTCCTTTATCTTGAACTTCTCTTTTTTCTCTCTTTCTTTCATAAACAACTTTCAAACTCATCAACGCAACAACATTGAACATTCAATCGATAGACATTGATAGATCGATAAGTCGACTTTTTGCTTGTTCGCAACACAAACATTGAACTAAACAGACAAACACTGTGAACGATTGGATGGTAAACATGAATATACAGAGTTCAAGTTTTTAATATAAATATAGTGGCTTGAATCATGGCCATGAGGAATGATGATCCATCAAAGAAGCGAATGAAAAGGGGAACAGAAAAAAGTCTGAAACTTATCATGTCTATCATCTTTTCTGCTTTTCTCAGCTAATCTTGACTTTTCTTTCGCTATAATCTTTACCATTCCATTGCATTTGCTTCATCACTTGCTTTTCAGGGTTACACCATGAAACACTATTAAATCAAGTAAACAATAAACGTGATAACCTCAGATAATCTTTAAGAGGGAAAAGGGAAAAAGACTAAAATGTAATATCGTCAACGTAATCAATATTATCTTGTGTTTGATAATGTTTTTTGACAGGTTAAGTTGTCATCTTGTGATAAGGGAAAGAGTCGGTTGGAAATGAAGGGAAGAGAGCAAGCAAAAAATGGGTGAAAATGTGGCTCATGGCTCATGATAATGATCAAGTTAAATGATACCAGAATGTAATTCGATACAATTGGATGGTTAAGTTTTCCCTTGTATTCAAGGTTTCATTTTTCCTGTTGATAAACAAGAAAATCTGAGAATAGTTGAGAGAAGAAAAAAGTCAAACTTGAAGGGAACCTAAAAAATGGTGTATTTTGGGCAAGTTTTTTGGTTACATTTTCCAACCCGTATTACCAGACTTGGTAAACCTAATGTTTAACTGATTAAAAGTTTAACCAATATTTGATCAGGTTTGCTTGTTTTGCATTTTGACATATTAACTGAACCGCAAACAATCGGGTTCCACAAAATGATGAGCTCTTCATGACCTAACTTAACTGATTCTGATAAGATCTTTACATGAAACACGAAAAGTTAACCAATATCAACGTTTCAATCAAGAGTTTCTTCCATAAGAACAGAGTTTTTGCTCAGAGACAGAAACCGATCAGAAAAGCTTTCACTGATCTTGACCAGTTCTTGAATTCAAATTTTTTAGCTATAAGCAAAGTTAGACGAAAACACGATTCTGCAAAAATATCAGTAGATCTGAAATCGACCTTTTGTTCATCAATAATCTGAAAATGGCAAAATCTGTGAATCTCATTGTAATTCTGTTCTTAATGAATTTGATTTTTTCAACTTTAGCATCTGATTGTCGCATGCAATTTTTATGCTTGAAATGGGAAAATTCAATTTGCTTGAACAGCCACTGAATGAAAAGTTGAGGCAATAAAGTTATTGACAAACAGAAGCAAGTTTTTTGTTTCAATATCAAATGATTGACTGAAAGAGATAATTTAGACAATAAAGTTTACTAATGAACCATTGAGAGTTGAATGTTCCCGTTGCAAGGTTAATTAATTATCGCAAAGCAGAGTTTCAAATGAATGTCAACTAAAGAGA